AGCCACTCTCGCGGTCGAGGGGGTGTAGGCGGGCGGGGGAGATCGGAGGCGCGAGAGGACGAGGCCCGTAGCCCAGGAAAAGTGACGAGAGACACTACGCCGTTGGAGTAGGGGGGGTGAGGACGAGGGGGACGACGGTCGCGCAACGGTACGCCTTCGGTCGTTTAGGAATTCGCGAATACTTTAAACGGGAGTAAAGCGATCGGCGGCCATTCTCCACGGGTTCTACGGGCGTTCGTGATAGCGCGCGAATGCACGAGATACCGCGGACAGGGGGAAAACGACGCGTCGCCCTGGCGACAAGTGGAAACGGGACCCAACTATCGCCGTCTGTCCCAAGGAGCCAATGATGCGATCGTTGCACGCGAATATTTTCTCCGTCGACCCCTTTCGACGACTGTGTTCACTCCAAACCGATCGGTTTCCTACCTAGTTACTTCGGTTCAAATTATTTCCAGACTAGCATATATTTATTATTTTTATGTTTCATTTGGCCGGAATAGTCCTTCAGGAGACTATTATGCGATCGTTAAACGTTACTGTTTTATCTATCGATCTTTTTAAGGACAAATAACTTCAAACCGATCGGTATCGTACCTAGTTACTTCAGTTCAAATTATTTTATTAAATCACTTTATTGTTTTTGTGTTTTATTTGGTCGGAACAGTCCACCAGGAGACTATTATGCAATCGTTAAACATTAATGTTTTATCTATCGATCTTTTTAAGGACAACTCACTTCAAAGCGATCGGTTTCGCAGCTATTTTGATACTATCGTGTAGGCCTTCCATGAGATCTCGACGTTCGAAATTCTGAATGTACGATACACTGTTTAACACTTAAAAGACTCTAAGCTAGGTTTACTAATTAATAATAATTTTTTATTAAAAATTCATGCAAGCAAAATTCCTAAATAACGCTCTTATTTTTTTTACATGTTTGCTGGTATGTTAGGTAGATGATGGAGCAACAAAATTTATAAAAAATTGTATCGAATTAAATTTTCTAACAAACGTTGTTCGATTCTGAGATCGTCGGTGGAGATACCGATCTGATATCGTTATCATGTAATCGGGGATTGCTAAACAGGCAATCGACCGTTTCTTCGCTGCTTCCTACGCGTTCAGTTTCGATAAAGTCTTCTCCTTCCGTGCCTAATTATCATGTATCGTGTGGTACGTTGCGGGCTCAAAGAAAGCTAACATTCCAGAATTCACTGCCGTTCGAAATGCCTACGAATCCGTAATACTGGCTGGTGCGCGACGATTTTTAATGATCTTCATTATCCATCGTCATGCAAACACCATTGCTCGTCGCGGCGAAGACGTTCGCTGTTTACGATATATACTCATCGATCTCATACTTCATTAACGGGTGATCATCATTCAAAGTTCACGGAAATCAAAATCAATATACTTTGATAAAAACACAATTGGAAATCACAGTCCCCAAGTTTGTTTCATATTTATTTTAGTAAATTTAAGTCGATAGATAACTATTCAAATTGCATGTATATTTTTTGTAGTTTTAATTTATATTTAAAAGATCGGAATATAATTTTCCAGTAGTTTTGGAGTATCGAGGGCGTAGAGATTAGACGACGATTAGACTCCTTTTATTTTCCCTTTCGATGTTTCCGCTCGATTGTTTTCTCTTTCGTATAATATCGTCGTTCCATCCACTTAAAACGAACGAATCGTGTACGTGATTATGAATATACTCGACGTGCTCATCTGAATATCAAAACAGGTGTCCCCATTCATTCAGCCAAGTTGCTGTCTCGTCGTCCAGAGATGCTCCCAGCGAGGTATTCGAGTGTCTTCGGAGCATAATAAATTGTCGCCCTAAATCGTACAATTTTCACTCATTCATTTTACGGCGTTCCCTTCAAATTTGGTTAAAATTATCCTCAATCACGAATAAAACAAATAAACTTCCAATAATTTTGTTGTCCAATAATCTTTCCAGGACTAACTACCGAAATAAATAAATAAAAATTGTCTGAACCTCCACTGTGTATCGAGAAAAATACTCTGGACACTGGATTAAATTTAACACGATATCGATTAAAAATAAAATCATGGTTAATTGTCAAAATAAATAAATAGATGATTGCCCCTCCACTGTACATAAAAAAAAATACACTGGACCTGGAAAATTAAATCTAACTCGAAATCGAGTAAAAATGAAATTATGGTTAATTATCAAAATAAATAAATAGATGATTGTCCCTCCACTGTGCATTGAAAAAAACACACTGGGCCTGGAAAATGAAATCTAACTCGAAATCGAGTAAAAACAGAAATGTAATTTGTAAAGGAGGTTCGATAGGACTTTGGTGTCGTATTTTATCTAATTTCTCGATACACGGACGCCGCGATTATACGGGACAAGCGACGCTCCGACATGTGTACGACATTTACACGGTGACGTGACGGAACGACGACCAAGCGCGCCCCGGTCGTCTTCATTTTTGCATTCCGTCCGTGTACTCCCACGAACAATTAGGCTTGTCGTCGGATTCTTCGGACGCTTCCCGTCTGCCCGGTGCTCGATGTGCGAACGCGGGAACAATGAACGATATTCTCGTGGCTTTTGGATTTGAATAATCGTTCGACGAGATACCGTTGCGAGGATCCGTATTGAATCATCGGGGCCACAGGCCCACGGGTCGTTTTCTCTCGTCCTCGACGCGTAAAATAAACGGGGGGGGGGACATAAGTGAGAAGTAGCGATTTTAATTATCGCGGACCTCTCGAGAATCCTCTCGTTCGATCGTGATCCATGCATCGTCCACGCGAACGCGACGACGCTAATTATCAACGACAGATTGATTTACGTGGAAATCGATGCGTTTCTTCTCCGTTCGAGAGAATTCATTGTAATGGAAATGTGGTTAATGTTCGATGTGATTTCGCTGAGTGCAATATACAATTTTTACAAAGATACTTTGCAATCCTTACCATTGATATGCAAATTTCTGTAAAAGCAAAGAAATATTTCCATTTTATGGTGTTCGATACCGGATTGGAGCTTAGAAAAAAATTGTATAAATTTGCTCGTGCAACACGTAAAGATTCTAGAATTGTTAAATAATAACCTTTTCTTATTATCAACGAAGTATTTTCGATAGTCAAAGAGGGTTGAAATTTTATTTTTTATCACTATCCTTTACTTCTAGAAATTATTATCTAATTAAGAATTTTCTTGCCTCACCCTTTTCTCATTATCGACGAAGTATTTTAGATAGTCAAAGAGGGTTGAAATTTTATTTTTTATATCTATCCTTTGCTTCTTGGAATTTTTCTCTAACTAAGAATTCTCTTGTTTCACCCTTTTCTCATTATTAAAGAAATATTTTAGATAGTCAAAGAGGGTTAAAATTTTACTTTTTATCTCTATCCTTTACTTCTCGAAATTATTTTCTAATTAAGAATTTTCTTGTCTCACCCTTTTCTCATTATCGACGAAGTATTTTAGATAGCCAAAGAGGGTTGAAATTTTATTTTTTATCACTATCCTTTACTTTTAGAAATTATTATCTAATTAAGAATTTTCTTGCCTCACCCTTTTCTCATTATCGACGAAATATTTTAGATAGTCAAAGAGGGTTAAAATTTTATTTTTTATTACTATCCTTTACATCTAGAAATTATTATCTAATTAAGAATTTTCTTGCCTCACCCTTTTCTCATTATCGACGAAATATTTTAGATAGTCAAAGAGGGTTGAAATTTTATTTTTTTATCTCCATCCTTCACTTCTCGAAATTTTTATCCAACTAAGAATTCTCTGATGCCCCCTTTTTCCCATTATCGACGAAATATTTTAGATAGCCAAAGACAGTTGAAATTTTATTTTTTATCTCTATCCTTCTCGAACTTTTTATCCTAAGAATTCTGCTGTCTCTTCCACTCTATTTTGATATCAAGGAACGAATGAAATTCCAAGTGCAAATATACGGAGACGCGAAAACCAAGTTTCTCTGCCAAACGCGATGTTGGACGATGTTTGAACGACCCGAGGTTCCGTATTTAAGTTTGGGTCAGAGTGGACCGAACGCACCGCGGTATTCAGGGCCGCGTATCGATCATCGTCCCACGAGCCGAGGGTAACATTAGAGGGCTCATTACGTTCGTATCCTTTGTAACAACAATGGCTACTTGGCATTCGCGTTATGCCGTCGGCTCGACATTGTTCTCCGCGGTGTGCGCGACCGTTTCACGAGGCAACGTGTGCATACGTGGGATTCAATTGGAGGGTAATGCGTCTTCCGTTGCATCCTGCGTCCTCTCCTGCTCGATCCTCGAACAAATGGAACTTGCGTTACGTACGGGGATTCGTGGAAAGGGACGGCTCGAAAAGTTCCGTATTACTTCGCGGGAACGACCAAAGAAATTGATGGCTTTTCTTCGAAACTACGATCCAGATCTGTTTGGGCTCGTGGAACGCGTAAGAGGATCGAAATGTAACTTTCGGAGTTTGCTACACAATACCGAAAATGGCAAAATTTTATTCGCCAGGATCAACGTATGGCAATTTCTTTAAAGACCACATTTTTAAAGTAGTTTATAATTTTCTAAGTACGTAAGAAAAACGTGAAAAGTCTTGTTATTTTTCACGCGTTTGCAAATGACTATATTTGTCATTGTCGTTTCACAATCTATGCTTCGTCGTAGGTAATTCCTATTGTGTTGCTTTATGGTTACTTTACGTGATTTCTTCGCGAAGGTGACTCAGTACCGAGCGTACTTGAGTTATTAATCTCTACTTATTTGTATTATTGGCAAGCATCCTGTTTGGCGCTCACAATAGAATCGCCTCTCGTTGTTTTAATTTATAGCCGACATAAATTATCACGATACACTGGCCCCGTCGCAGCAAAGGAAACATTCTTCTCGTTTCTGTTATTCAGTCGCCGATGACGATAAGGGACTTTCTTGCGAACCGTGATAAAAATAGCGAACGGCGGATTCATCGTGGCCTTTGTCTGTTTCAGCAAATTCTGCAAAACTCCTCGGTATCAGTGGAGATCGAAGTGAAACCGAGGCAACTGGTCCCGGACACTAATTGCTTCATCGATTATCTGCCGCAATTGCAAAATATCACGAAGGCGATTTCCGGCGCGCAGCCGATCTATACGCTTATGGTGCCGCTTGTGGGTAAGTGACACTCTCGTAACTATTAAAAATTTCACTCTCTGTCGTGCTTTTTACTCGCCTTTCCTTCCAGATTAATTCTTCTCTCAATAATCTATTTTTATTCGTAACTTCGCGAAAAGAAGCCATTTTAAGGATCGAATTAATTGTAAATAGTTTTTCTTAGTTTTTGGATGTAAGAATACATTATTTTATTCCAAAACAAAATTTAAGAATATCGATGTTTTAAACGAGCTAACAATTTTGAAACGAAGCTGTTTTTAATCCCCAATTTGTAGATCATACTATTCCTCCTAAAATATAGAAAGTTTATATCACGTTAAATTTTAAATCTTTATTTTTCACTATAACGTCATGAAACTTTAGCATTCAATTCCTGAATAGTATTAATTTCGAAAAAAAAATAAAAAAAATATCGATCTCTGACTGCCTGGTCCCCTTAAAGATTGAATCTTTTGGACTTTCGCGTAAATAAATTACAAATAGTTCTTCTTATTTTTTAGATTCGAGAATTTATTTTATTCCAAAAGAAATTCAAGAATATCGATGTTCTAAACAAGCTAACAATTTAATTGTAGGTCATTTCTCCAAAAATTTAGGAAATTTAGATCGCGTTGAATGTTTCGTAGATCAAATTTTTTCCTCCACGTGATAAATACGTGATTTCGGAGTTACGCGAGGTTCTGGTTAATTGCCCGCGCGAAATCGAGGATCGTTTCGGTTTCGTAAGACTGCACGGGTCAGAGGAATACAAGGAAGAGATTAAATAATTCTACACGGTCGCCAGAAACATCTCGGAACAACCGGTTGACCCCTCGGGGTCCCGGCGGGCATTTCTTTCGACCGAAGGTCGTCGATTATCCCGGCCGAGAGGTGGGCAACTCCGTTCGAAATAATGCCTCGTTGCGCTCCGTGGAAAAAAGTAAAACGTATTAAATAATCGCCGATAAATAACGACGGAGGAGGTCGTGGCTCTTCTCGCGCGGGATACCTCTGTACTCTCGATGGCCGGGCAAAAATAAAAGGAGGCCCGATGCGAATCGATCGACTCGAATATCGTAAAACCCGCCTCCGCGTTCTGCCTCCCCCTCTACCCCGTCGCGAAGATTCGCCGAATACTCGGAACACGCTTGGGAAAAAGGAGATTCGATTGTCGAACATACAGCGATGGGAATGATATAGCTCCGATGAATTATAAAGCACGTTCCCCTAATTTACACGGTAAAACCGATGTCGTTGACCCCTTGGATCTCGAATTATACTTTGAGTTGTGCTGTTAAATTATAAATTTTCAAAGAATATTTTTTGAAATGTCGCTTCATTTATTGTAGAATTCAAAATAAGACGAAAATGAAGAATACCAATTTGTTGATCGAGGCTTCGTTAAAAAGTTATTAACGTTTGAAGTTCCGCCTGTGAAACGGGAATCCTGCGAACAGTTTCGAACTTCAAACGTCGATAACTTTTTAACGAAGCCTCGATCAACAAATTGGTATCCTTGATTTTCGACTTAATTTGATCCCCAGAATCTTCCATTAAAATTTCCCCAGGGGTGGTCGAACACCCTGTGTATTTACCCCTTTTTTCGGGGTCGAATAAACGATAATTCCCGTCGTATTTTACATTAATTTATTAGTCGTGTCCGTAACTTGGTACGCGCGGCTCGTTAATGTTTCATTACGCGAGTCGTGAAAATGGTCGCCCGTAACGTAATTGCCCCGCGGAAAGCGATAAACGTTTGATGAAGATTACAGTGTATCGATTCTTACGAAAAATGTCCAACGAGTTTCGCAGAGTCTCGTCGCGAGCGTCGTTAAAAGTATCGCCCGAGGGCGATCGTGTCATCGAGAGAACATCATCAACGGGTCATGGCGTGGGTCAAAACGACGCGCAAATATCCGACTCACCTTGCGATGACGATCGTCGTCGTCGTCATCGTTCGTCGCGTACACGATCGACGCATCTTTCCCTTCTACGAATCTAAAAATCGCTAAACGTCAAGGTCGGTATTTTCGTAATGCATCGACCTTTAATAAAACTTCAGGTGTACATTGAATAATTAAAAGAAGGTGCACGCGAGTATCGAACGATCAATCATTATCGATACAGGGGGTTCTTCGTACGTCTCTTAGTCATTAATATCAGAAATTATGCATTTATAATGGGGGCCGATTAGCAGAGTAATTTAAGTATTGAATCGATGGAGTTTGATGTATTGTTTGATCGAGATTGTTCATATTTGTATGATCGAAATAATTCTGTTATTGATAATACAAGCAGAAAAAATATTGTGTTCATAATGAAACATTTAGGTACTTTAAGCATTAAATTTGAAGAAATATCGTAATATAATGTTTGATCCAGATTGTTGGACATTTCTATTATATTACTAAGGTAATAATCGAGCTTCAATGATTCAGAAACTGCTGTTAGAAGTATTGTGTATATCTAAGGGTGGTTAAATTTCCCTTCAAACAAATTTTCTGGCTTCACCAACCAAACGTTATTCGAATTATTCTAATTAAAATTGTCGTCACATTGCAAACATCTAACGAGGGTTGAATATTTTCTTCCTGTTCAAACATCTTTTCCGTTTCGTTCGAATTGTTCCAGCAGCGATCAGAATTACCGATGGAAGAAGCGCTCGGTATTCACGGGTTACGTAATTAACGTGTACGCAAACGCCATTAAACGAGACTCGCCAAGTTCGCAACCGATTCCAAAAATAATTTGCTCTGTTCGCTGGGTGCCAAGAGTTTCGCTTTTTACCAGCAGAAGCGACATTCCGTTAGCTCGAACATCGAAGCGGATGGTAATTACCCATACGCGCGAGCGTACTTTAGCATAGCAATTACCCAATTACCGAGCTGCGTGTAACTGTCGAATTGGCGTGCTCGTATTGCGGCCCGAGGCGATCGTTAATGTGCTCCAGTCGACGCCAACGACCCGCCGTCGTCGATCGGCGTCGACGAGTCGTCGAAAGGATCCTTGAGAATCAAGCCTGTGACGTGTCTGATCAAAAAACAAATCTTTGATACGCTAGTTTGGAAAATAGAGAACCGACCGTGATAAGGTTCGATCACGGTGACACGCAATTAGAAGCTCTCGTGGCAATTATGCAGATTGGGGGATGATCTTCGACTTGACACGTGCCATCCAGCGTCCTGAGTCGTTGATTATCAAGGAAATATTCATTTTTTAGAGCCTTCGTTTCTGGTAAAATTTATTCCATTTTCTATCGAATCAAACGAGGGTAGTTCGTCGTATTTATTGAATATTTTTTTATTTACTGTGTATTTGGAGGTATTGAGTAATTATAACTTCAGTGGGTAGTTTATTGAGTAGTCTTTAATAGGCTTTAGCTATCAATCGTTGAAATATTAATTTCTTAGAGCTTTCGTTTCTGGTAAAATTAATTCCATTTCTTATCGAAACAAACGAGGGTAGTTAGTCGTTCTATTTCGTGAATATTTTTTTATTTACAGTGTATTTGGAGGTATTGAGTAATTATAACTTCAGTGGATAGTCCATTAAGTAGTCTTCAATAGGCTTTAGCCATCAGTCGTTGATTATTAATTTTTTGGGGCCTTCGTTTCTATGAAAATTAATTCCATTTTCTATCGAAACAAACGAGGGTAGTTAGTCGTTCTATTTCGTGAATATTTTTTTATTTACAGTGTATTTAGTGTTATTGAGAAATTATAACTTCAGTGGATGGTCTAATGAGTAGCCTTTAATAGACTTCAGCCATCAGTCGTTGATTATTAATTTTTTAGAGCCTTCGTTCCCACGAAAGTTAATTCCATTTTCTATCGAAACAAACGAGGGTGGTTCGTTGATTCATTTATTAAAATTTTATATATATACAGTGTCTTTGACAGTTTCGAATAATTGCAACCTGATCACTGTGTTCGATCAATGTTGATTAATATTAAACGCGACACTACGACCCGCGATAATAATGTCTTCGTTGTAATCGATCGCGATGTTCCCCCGATGCAAATGCGAACGACGACAGCGGAAACGTCTTCATCATAGCGAGCGTTTCTTTTTTTCTCTTTCTTTTTTTTTTTTCCTTGTCAAGCGATACGCGGCGGGTACGTAATTGGCGATAAATAAACGATCTTCCTTTGGCGGTTGACGCTAGCTAGGAATTTTACGACGATACCGGTGGATTTACAGGCGTTACCGCGGAATGTATTCCGCTTGCACGTCGAACATACTTCGAGATGTTTATTAGTTTTCTTGCACGCCTTCTTTCCACCGGCAATCGTAAATATTCCAGCGTTATCGCGCCGCGTCTTCCGCCTGGCGAATTTTTCCAGCCGCGTAACGAGAGTGTCTGATCAGCGACGGGCTACGTCCACTTGCGTTTCTTCGTTCTGACCATAAAGCGCAGTTTCCGTTAACCCTTTCGTTACTGCTGCATTCGTTTCGATGCAACCGTGTCTCGTACACTTTCGAACGCAGGTCGACTCGTTCTTTCGCGTCTTCGAACGCAATTATCAGCTCCTAATCCAAAAGATCGATCGTTCCTCCGATAAAAAAATTTTACAATTTTCTTTTGCTAAAAAAATAGTTTATATAAGCTGAGAGAGTAATTTTAGACTTCTCAAGGTTCGTTCAATTATATTTATTTTTGAATTTACAATAATTTATTTTTGTGTCACGAATTATATTTCCACGCTCTTGAAAGTCACCTCCATTAATTTGTACCGTATTTATGGAGAATTTCGAGCACAAAAATGGACGTGTATTTCGTCTCGCCAGGAATAATCGCGACTTTAAATAAGAAACCGAGCGTTCGCGAGAACACGGCCCGAAGTCGACAGAGGGTTCAAGGCCATTTGAAATGGAAAGGTCCATCGATCACTGTTACATGATTGCATATTACCGGTGATTGGATCGATATTCAGGCGAATCAATTTCGAGGCACCGCCATTAGCCACAGACACGTTGTTCGGGATTCGAAGTTAACAGAGAGCTCTCTGTTCTTTGGCCAA